CCAATGAAATAAACTATGATCTATAAATTTTTTGATTTATGACCTCTAAATAATTGTGACCAATTAATTTGACGATATGTGATCAATAAATAAGTTGTGACATATAATTATGTACATGTGACCATTAATTGTATAATTGTGACCTTATTATATTTAATTAAAAATATTTTTAATCAATTAGATAAAAACATGATTTTAGCATTAATATAACTTAAAATCTAATTTTTGAATTGTGCATAGCTAATACATGATTTATGAACTTTTCCTTATAGAATCTTCAAATTTTATTTTAGGACCAAAACCGTTTAAGTCAACTCTATGATGATTTAGCCCAGGGGCGGACCTATTCAGGGTCTAGCGGGGACAATTGACCGCATTGGACCTTTAGTTTTTACATTATTTAAGGAAAATGAGATTTCTTACAACTTTGTTCTTATGTGTACTTCTTTCTTGTGCAGGTAAACTTTCTGTTTGGGAGAAATTTCTGTTCAGGTTTTAAATTTTTAATTATTTGAATGATGCCAATGCAAAATGGGTCCACTGCTGCTGTCCGTTAATTTTTTTTTTTTTTTTTTTTTTTTAGCATTTGTTTGTCAACTATTCTGCCATATTATTTTTCTACAATTCTTATTTTCAACCACACATTCTTTATTAAAATAATATTACACATAAATAAATAAAAAATCTTTCTTTTTAACAACACATTTCAACATCAATCACTATTCCATAATACACTTTTAAAAATTAAAAAGGCACAAACAGACCCTTAGTAAATTTTGACGCTGTACCCACCTACAATGACCTAGCAGCTCAAAGATTGCTTTTAATTGTAAAAATTGTTGCTAGACAAGTGCTATATTCTTGATCAAATTCATTTTGGATTATTAATTTAGCTTTTTTTTTTTTTTTTTTTTTTTACGTAATTCTATCTCGCCACCATTGAACCAAATCCTGGGGTTAGTCCCTGATTTAGCCTATCAAACACTGCTAGAAAAGGAGGAAACAAAGATGAAATTTCAGTTGCGATCGTCTTTCGTTACTATTACCAATGAATCAACAATAAATTAGCAATTGATATTTTATTATTTTAAAAATTATATCTAAAATTACCGATAGAATTACCGACAGAAGTCTTGCATTGGGACGATTCCATTGATAATCCATAGGTAAAAATGTAAAAATATAAATTGAATAATTTATCAACGGATGTTTCTGTTCGATACTATGGTTCTGCTCAATAGTGACTATGAAAATCAATTTTTAGATCGTCAGAGAGAAAAGTGGATCCTACTATGAGTGAAGAAGTCAAAAATAACGGCTAACTTAGGAAAGCAAGGTCAAAAAAATAATGTTTTGGGGGTTAAAAATCATAATCAAACGAGGGCTATATAAAAGAAAAAAATATTTACCAACAGAGACAATTTGTTAGTAAACTATTGAAGTAAAAATAAATAATTATTAAGTAGTTACCAACAAAAAAAATAAAAATAAAAATTGTTAGAATAGTCCCACACAATTTGAAACAACATTAATATTTCACATGTACCATTTGCATTTGAAGAGTCGTGACTAGTCATTACACAAATTGAAAACTTTTTCAATTCACACTTGTAAAAATTGTCCCGTAAATTCCAAAAATATCCACATAAATGAAAGAAGTCGACAAGAAGAAGGTGGACCAAGAAAAATACTACTGAAATACATCAGGATGAATATCTTTCATTTTGAACCTTCCTTAATAAGAATTTATCGGAATCACCTGGCTAATCAGTGCAACCTTTTAAACGGTTGATCATTATTGTGAGCCCACACAATAGGTTAAAACATTATCTCTTATATCAAACTTTGGTTCTTTATTGTGTTCACTATTTCAACCTCGAACCTTCTCGAATTCTGGAAGTGTTTTAAGAAAATTTGCCAAAGACCAAGTTCGGACTCGAAAGTCAAGAACCTCACTTAAGCCCGAGTGCATACTACTTCTGAAGGCAAAGACTCATTGTGGTAGATCGCAATTACACCCTAAGGCATCTTTTCTCGATTACATTAATGATCCATTTGATTGCAAGAATGGAATTTGGGTGGAAAGAAAACGAATTCCAGGAAATTGAATTGTTTAGAACTTATTTTCTTGAAAATTGTTAATTAAATGTATTTGATTAGTATAATTTTTCCACCTGGGAAAATGTTGAAATTTTAGATCTTATGGTGTTCGTTTTACTTTATTTTTCATGAAAATTGTCAATTAAAAGAATATAATTTTTTACAATTATGGATAAAATTTGTTCCAATTGCCAAATAAAAAAAATGTGGCTAGAAAGCCAATTCCCTTAGGCACAAAACCAAGGAAATTGCACATGTGGGTGAAGAGATGGAAATGGAATTGTCAAAAAACAAAAAACAAAAAACAAAAAAATTTGCAGTCAAACAAGCTAAAAAAGAGGAAAATGGAAAATATTTTCTATAGAGAATTGGGCAAATCAAATGGGCCCTAAGTTCTTATACTTCTGCAAAATTCAAAACACTCCTTTGACTACGTACTTAGGCCTAGTTTGTTTCCCATTTTTTAGCCCTAAAAATGAAAAATATAACCGTTATTCATTACTTCAAGCCGTCATATTTGACTTCATCTCTTTTGTATGGATTCCGTAACGAATATATTTTTCATTCTCATAATTCTTATAAGAATGAGAATCAAACGAAAGCTCGATTCGAAAGGCTTAATTATTTAGGGTCAAGTAATCAACCGTACAAAGCTCCTTAAGGAGTGGCGACTATATTAGTAATCTTCTACGTAATATCTTTTTCCATTAAATTTGGGATTAAACTTCTTACACAAGACACCTATAGTAACACACAGAGCGGCTATCACAGTTAACTTCCCTTTCACGCCATGAAGATATGTGGTAAGGAGACGTGCGTACGTCACAGAACTTTATACATTACAATTTCATGCTACTGGCGTCCCAAGAATTGAATTCCTGACCTCCTTTATAGGATTCTAAAGGCCAATCCTAGTACCACTACAACGTAAAATGTCAAATGCCAGACAGTTTAAAAGTTGAACTCTTATTTAGGTCCCGTTTGTTTTCCATTATTGTAAGAATGAGAATGAAAAATATAATCTTTATGAACCTACAAAAGAGATAGAAATTCAAATTTGGTGACTTGATATGATGGATAACGATCATACTGTCCATTTTAATGGAAAAAGAATGGAAAACAAACAGAAACTTAGTGTCGATTCGTACCAAGAAACTTTCGTGCAGGAGTCTGCGTAGAATAAGAATTAAAAACTTCTGGAATAATCTTTAATCTTAATGTTTAAAACTCTTTAATTATAGGACAGAACAGGTAAAGTCTAATTATAAGTAATCTTAAATGTATCATACTCTAATACTATATTTGTGTCATTGCTCATTTAACTTAATTTTTAGCCGCAGCTTATACAAAATAAAAGGGTATATTCAATGTACAATATTAACTCAATAGACAGTATAGTAGACAAAAATTTTAAATATTTATTTTCTTCTTTAACAATGCGAGTACAAAATAGGTTCAATCATTCAAGATGTTGAGTTTGAGCCCATATCCATCCCATTGGGTTTTGTAAATGCAGCAGCATGAGACAGGCCAATGCTTAAAAATGGGACATTGCTCACTTTGTAAACCAGTGACATCAATGTGAAATTATCATGTGTTTATCCATAAAGCACGTAAAAAAATTGAAATTTCTTGACTACAATAGCTAACAAAATTCCAACATCCACAACTAAACCTTCACATTCTCGTCCCGCACACCAAACATGTTGTTCAAAAAAAAATTATGTGTTTCCTAAACATAACGGATGTGTCTAAATGGTAGAAGAATCGGTAATGGACTTCTTATGAAATTTGTTGCATAAAAGGCAAAAAACAAAGTACATTTCAACATAGTTGGAATATATTTACACAACATTAAGCAGTTATGAGTAACATAGGTCATTCAGTCAAAGCATTGAGAAAAATAATCATGTTCAAAAAGAATGATAAACACAACCCTGAGGGGTAGCTCAGTGGTCAGACCTTGAGTTTGCCCCCCCAATGGCACCAGTTCGAGTCCCCTCAGGACCACTGAAGTGAGTATCCGGCTGTAAATTTTAGGATCCCATGGAATTAGTCAAGGTGCGCGTAAGGTGTCCAGGGAATTAGGCGAGGTGCGCGTAAACTGGCCCGGACACCCATGATTATAAAAAAAAAAAAAAAAGAACGATAAACACAGCAAGGCAAATCCTCATCAAATAGAAGTGAGCTTGAATAAATTTCGTTAACTAAGCACGTCATGTTCTGAATTCAATAAGTTCAAACCTGATTAAGTAAATGGCGAGGAACTAGAAAACCTCAAGGAACATGAATCAACCATGAAATGCATATATAGATAGTTAAAAATCTCAACCCAACCAGAGGTAGTGAAGAAAGTATATTTCTATGTTTTAGACTCTTCAAACACAATATCACATGTCTCCGAGCACCTTGTAAACATTGAAATTTTCTTGCGAGCTGATAGTGAAATATCTGAATTACATGTTCCCAATCTAGCAATTTTAATCCTTTCCAAAACTTTTCCATTCTGTAAAAAGTACTTCACCAGCTGATATTCACATTCAAGCAGTTGGAAGTATTTAAATTTAATTTTCCTAAGATGTTTGGCCAAGCAAATGGGCACAGTTTTTTTTTTTTTTTTTTTTTTTTCGGTAAGCAAATGGGCACAGTTTCTGGCAAAGAACACATAGATTCTCCTTGAGCATTGCCCCTCACCACATGAATAGGAATGACGAGCTCTTGAAGTTGAGGTGTACTTTCAAGTATACTAGGCAGTGTTCGGTGGTCAAAAGGACCAAGCTCCAGGAAGGTCAAAGTTTCAAACACATATAGTGAAAAACAACCCGGGTTCATAACCTTCATGCAAAGATGGAAAAAGATCAAAGTACGAATAAAGATTTTGAATTTAAATATTTATATACCTAGAATGATTTTCCAAACGGATCGTGAAGCTTAGTCTTTACCTCAAGAGTGTCTATGTTTAAATAAAGTGACTTGACTGCAAGCAACTTGTTGATGAACTCTGATACATTCTCCCGATGATCTTCCACGAAAGGAAGCTTTAGTTTCGGTGCAGTTACAAAAGAAATTTTTGCTCCAACAAGAGACTTTAGTTTCTTCACCAAGTTGAATTTAGCTACATAACCATGATAATCAAGAAACTCCAGATTTGGTGTATCGATGACAAGTTTAGTTTCCACAATACTACAAGGATAGTTGAAAGAAAGTTTCTTAAGCAAAGGAATAGAAAGATCCAGAACTTCAACAAGCCAAAAGTTGCAGTTAGATAGCGACAAATCTTCAAGGTGCTTACAACCCCGAAACAATCTTCTCATGGAATCATCACTTGGTAAGATGAAAAATCCTAACATCAGAACCTTTAGATTGGGTAAAGAGACCAGCTCCGGGACATTTAACTCCATATATCCTCTTAGCTTCAAGACCACCAATGTACTAGACGTGAAAACTTCAGGCGGTAATGTTCTAGCTAGTGCACCTTTTCTCACACAAATATCGATCTCTTTAACATTTCGCCAAATTGCAGCACATACTAGCATTTGGATTGCAGGCTCCTCAAAATTGAAACTGCATCTGAGATGAAATTGATTGATATGAGGTACATCTCGAAGCATAATTTGTTTAAGACCAAACCTTGCAAACTCCAGCAAAACCTTCTTATTCCTCCTTTTCCGAGTTAAAGAATCGTCAAGAACAACGTTAGGGAGAAAAAGGAAAAGGTTCTTCCATCTGGTTGATAAAACAGAAGTGGCCACCGCATATTTTGTATCAAGAAATGATAAAATATGGCAAAGAACACCGTCCGGTAAATCACTTAGTCTATCAACAAAATCATCATCCGGGGTTTTGTGAGCCCTTTTGGGTGCATTGGACATCCTCGAAACCTACGCTAATAGAGGAGGTCATGGCATCAATTTTATCGGAATTTCACTATTCATACTTGTATTTCACTAATTTGTTTGAAAGAAGTAATCTTGACGGTTCGTAAACAGATTATAAGGGCAGAAAAGTATGAAGACTCGCGTTAAAAAGAAACTGGGCGGCAGAAGCAACGGCAACGGCAGCAGCGGTGGCGGCGCAGCGTAAACGAAAATCTCCTCGCTAGCCGGAGCGAAACCTACTGATCACGCTCGATCCATCTTTGGCAATAATAAAGCCCTTGCAAGTAAGTTAGAAGATAGGGGCAAGGGTTTCGCGGAAAATCAAAGAAGTATGTGAAGAATTGCAAATTGGTACCAAAAGTTCAGATTTGTATTGTAAAACATCCCCAAATATTATTCAATTTGTGCACCCAGACATCAATACAATAATAAAGTTTTCATTTGAGTAAGAAAACTTTAAACTGATAAAAATTTGTTCAATATGAACTGGTGGCTGGATGTGGCCCCAAAAAAAATAAAAAATGATAAAAAATAATTATAATAATAAAATAAAAATAAATAATAGTAATAATAAAATTGAGAGGTTTGACGTTGAATTTAATAAAAATTATGAGTCTATAAACTTTAGTTCGATTCATTCCTTCTGATTCTGATTCAGGTATGCAAAAAGTTGTTGACTAATTACTTTCTAAGCAACGATGATATCCAAAATGATTATGATAGATTAAATGTGTTTTGTATGAAAAATGCAATTTTCGAACAATAAAAATGAGTGTTCATTGATAGGAAATATGTGAAAAAGTACTTTATATGACGGCTAGTTTTCAATAAGTCGAAGAAGTGAAGAAGAATGCTAGAACTGCAAAACATTTCTAATACTCCAAAACTTTATTGAACAATACATATTTAAAGTTTGAGAAGTTTTTGGTTGTTTTGGAGTTAAGCCCCTGTTTGATCCCCATTTTTGGGGGAAAATGTATTATCGAATAGTGATTTATTGGTGAATGTGTGATTAAAAAGTAAAAAAATATTTTTGAAATACGTGTATTATTATTTTATAGAAAAATGTGTGGTTGAAAATGAAAAGTAAAAAAATACATTCTTATAAAAATGGGGACAAACAGGGGCTAAATATTGTGATAAATTAAGATTAAAGGATTATAACAGAGGAATCGAAATATTTTTGGCAAATATATATATATATATATATATATATATATAATTTATTAATTAGTATAGGATTTTTAGGAAGATGTTCAAATAACTCCCAGACAAAATATAAAATCTATATAGATAAAGTAGTAAATTTAATGAGTAGTAAAGGAATTATTTTTTTTCTTTTTTTTTTTATTATTATATTTTTTTTTTTAATTATTTCAGGCATATCTTCTCTTTCTTGAGCCACAAATCTAAGAAAAATAAGTAAATTAACTTTAAAATAAATTATTACTTTGACGGATCAAAATTAGAATAAGTAAATTATTCTTTTTAAATACAATTTCAACTTCTTTCTAAACTTGTTACTTGTTAGTCCAACGCAGTATGATTTTGTGAATAAGCAAGAGCACTACAAAAAATTTTAAAATTGTGAGTAATTTTATGCAAAAAATTTAATGCAATTCCTATTAAAGTTTTATTTTTATTTTTTTGAAAAATTTATCATTTTCATCCACATTATATTTCGGTATTGTCCATATTAAAACCATTCATTTAAACACTATAAATCCATAACATTTTTATATATCTATTACATTATAATTCATACGATATACAATTTTTATATATCTATCCCACCATTTTTGTATATCTGTCGCATCATAATATCTTCACAATCCTTTCATATTTTCAATCATTGCCGCACTCTCAAATTTCTTCACTTGTTTTGATAATACAACAAATTAATCACCATTGTTTTAAATTCAAGAAAATCAAGAAAAAAAAGATAATCTCAACAGAAAACTCAAATTCTTGTTTCGATAATCTTAGCAGAAAAGATAACTATTCAAGAAAAATCAAGAAAAAATAGATAATCCCATCAGAAAACCTAAATAATTAGGAATGAAATTCCTTACTAATACTGTTTGAATTTAAAAGTTACATTATCAAATAACTCAAATATAAATCAAGAATCCTTCACATACTAAATTAATCAAACCTACAATAAAAAGTAATCATTACCTTTTTTTTTTCAAATTCTTCTTGATATACTGCTTTTTGTGTATATATGTGCTTTAATGGTGTCTCTTTTATTGTTTTTTTTCTTTAATTTAGTTGAAAATGATAGTTTATGAATATATTAAGATACATATATATACCTCAATTATTTTAAAGTACTATATTTGCATTATGTTTAATATTGAACTGAATAAGACAATAGCATATATTTCACATTTTTCTTTAATTATGTTTATAGTATTTAACAAACATACTCTTAAGAATGCGATAAATTAAAACGCCTCAATAGCTCTTACTCGTACAAACTCTTACTATCGCCACTTTAACCAATTCAAGAATGCATTTCTCTCTCTTATTACATAATTGTAAACAATCTAATCGTTATCATTTAAGTCACTTAACAAATATATTCAGATGGTTTCTTAATATTGGTTTTGGCAAAAATTCACGAACATTAAAACTTTAATACATGCTACGATATCATCTACTAAAGTGCAATCATCCCTTCCAAATTCATCTCGAGTGTGCTGAAGGTTTACAGTCGAAATACTTTCTCACTTTTCCTTAGCATCAAATATTTAATTATGCTTATTTTACTATCATCACTTCTCTCTAACTTTCAAAATCTTCAATTTGTTATGCTAAGTGTTATTCTTATATCTATGATGTGGCCCTAGCACCCTTTTGGAATGATTTTATGAGAATAGATTTTACGAAAAGTTATTATTATTTTTTTATAATAGGTTAAAAAGAGGGAAAGTTTATAGGAAAAATTATTTTATTGGAATGTGTGGTTGAAAAAAAAAATGAATTTTAAAAAATGAGTGCCAAACATGGACTAACATATTTTAATGTTAACACAATTATTTTTATATGGTCAAAATTTGGCAGATGCAGCTTCAGACATTTAGATAATGTCAATGTAAATTGTAAAGTATGGGAATGACAATATTTTCTATTAGAGAAATGTACAAAATTCAAGGATGTATTTATACTTTACACTCCATATTTTTCATAACTATACTTTTCATACTATATTTTATGTTATGGTAACAAAATATAACTTTTGCTAAAAAATTATAAATTAAAATAGTTAAATAGACCAATATATCCATAATTGAAAATAACAATCACAATCTTCAAATTACATTATGTAACACTTAATATATTTTTAACTATTGTTTTCTCAAGACAATTAATTAGTATTTCGTTTTCCCCTAAAAAATAATTTATTTTTCTTTCTCATTCATAAAACCCTCCATAAATTAACATTAAGCTCTGGAGACTTTTAAAAAGTAATTTTTAAAAGTGAGTTTTGAAGAATATGTGGATAAAAAACATGAAATTTATTTTTTTGAGAAAACGTGAAATAAATTTTTTTTTTTTAAATATTTGTGGTAAAAAATAAATGTACAAGCACATCTCAATACATCATCATCATAATCATTATCATACGTTTTCAATTTCTCACACAATTTTTTTATTAGCTATCTCACAATTTGATGACATTTATTTGAACTTGAAGATTAACGTTTCTATTGTGTTCAACAATATCCCATAAGTAGAATAAAAAATTAGCCTCACATGTGACTTTGTACAAGAACATCTATTTGGATCATGCAATGCATATACAATTGTTTCTAACGTCTATAGGATCTTAGAATGATTTCTACTTGTGTTAAATTCATATTCCTTCTCCCATACATTTAATCAATTAGTCAATTAGTGGTCAATTAATAAAAAAGCATCAAATTCCTAACAGTCATTCAAATCAAACAAACATAGTCTAATGTCAAAATATAGAATTTAATATCAAAACTTCATTGTAGGCGGTTTAGCGTTGTCTAGCGTCACCACCAAAATTTGAAGTTTGGAAGAAAAAGGAAAAATATTTTTGAATCTTGAATTCCTTCGGTTTGATTTCTCTTCTTTGATTCCTTCTTCTTCAACTCCAAGCAAAGAGGTATAAATTTACATAGGATAAATGATTTGTAAGGATAGCTTCTTCAAAATTTTACAAGAAATAAAGAATTGTTGATCAGCATTGGCTCCTTTCATTGTAATGAATGTGTAATTTTACGTACAAGAGCCTCCAAACTTCTCCCTTTGATTTTTAGATGAAGAATTATATTTACAGACCAAGAAATATGTCAAAATTTATACCCCAAATGTTTTTCAAGAAAAGTTAAGATGACGATCACATGGCTTTACTAATTGAGATCGCAAGGGCGAGCTTATTTTCCCTCTGAAATTAGTCTGCTCAACATTAAGATCTCAACGCTATAAGCTTGCTATCACACACACATCCCTTTTGTCCTCTTTAGTCCTTCATACTTAAACCTTCTTAGTTAGGTCCTTAATCCCGAATCGCCCGTAATTAATCCTAGGCAAGTTCTGAGAGTTTTTAATTAAGTCACCAAAGTTTTCACACATTAATACCTCAAATCTAGATGCCTAGATTTTGAAGTATTATCGTTTCATTTTCTTTTAAAATCATAAATGCGGAAGTGATTAGATTTTTCTTTAATATAATAAACATCATTGGCTTCATTTATGAAAATAATTTGTAGAAAACTTTTTCATTTAAATGAAAAATAACGATAAAATTAAATGTTAACTTTATTTTATAAAAAAAGGTCCATATTTGATTGTTAGCACTAAGTCCAATGCACCGCAAGTAGTCGTCTCGTATCATTGCCTTCATCATCTGAAATAGGGAAGAATAAGCTAACGCTTAATAAACAAACCTCATGCATATGATTTATGTTTATGATGTGCTTATGAATTACTTTAAAATAAAAACATCTCTCAATATGTATTCC